TGACAAACAACAGTGTCCTCAGGCAGACTTGGCTCTGGACTGGCAGCTGAGAAAATGAGTGCCTCCGTCCTAAAGGGGTCTATGGGCAATGCACCATAGTGTCTACTATCGTCTACACCTCTCACCATTCAGATCCACCTGCTTTGTATAATAATTTCATTCTATATGGAGGCAGATTCTCTAAGATGCTTTTCCTGACAAAATTTATAAGAAGAAGGTTAGTGAGAGGATCTATCATCTCTATCACACCAGTTGCTATCAAGGCTGCAGTTGGTACTCTGTGGTAGACTGAGTAATGTCTCCCACCCAAAAGATGTCCACCAAAAAAACAAAACCAAAACAAACAAACAAAAGATGTCCACCTGTGAATTTGACCTAACATAGGATTTTATCTTACATCCTATCCTACATAGGGTTTTTCAGATGTGATACAGTTGAGGATCCTGGGATGGGGAGATTATCTGAATGGGCCCAATATAATTATAAGGGAGGGACAAGGTCAAAGGCTTTTCTCTGAAGAAGAAGGAGGTGGGACAATGGAAGCAGAGGTTTGAGTGATGCACTTTGAAGATAGAGGCTCATGGTAGTCATGAGCTAAGGAAAGCAGGGAACCTCTAGATGCTAGAAAAAGAGAGTGGAAATGTATTCTTCCCTCAGAGCCTCCAGAAAAACCAGCCCTGCTGACACCTTTACTTTTGCCCAGGGAAACTAATTTTCAACTTTTGACTTCTGGAACTATAGGCAAATAAATTTATCAACACAAATTTTGAACCACTAAGGATGTGATAATACGTTATAGCGACAACAAGAAAACTAATACAGCCTCCCTCCTCTACCAACTACTCTAATTCCTAACCCTTCAGCTAGTACCTCTGCTGATTTAAGTTGCTTCCTAGTTGAGTGACTCACATGTGTTTTCCTGAGGGATCTGCGTCCCTGGTCTCCATGCCTCTCTCAGAGTATGATGGCTCCCTTATCCACTGGCCACCAGAATTGGGCGGGAGAGTGCCTAGAGATGCCCCCTTTACTTAACAGCAGCCTCACCTTCTCCTGATGAGATGGTCAATTGCCTTGCCAAGATGATCACTCTTTTTTTTTTTTTCCTTTTGTTGGTCTCTTGATCCAGGAGCTTGAAGTGATGGAGTTCCCAGGCTTAGTATTTTACCCATAGGGAATTTAACACCATGTAATAGTCATTATTTTAGTATATACATTGCCTTTTAGAGGATGGCTCCTCATCCCTACAAGATATTAATCTAAATTGCTTCTTTGAAGACTTGTACCACTGATTATTAGTCCGGAAGTTTCAGGGCAGGGGAAAGGTCATCATATATGATAGGACTAATAGGACTAATAAAGCCACGATCAGGTGCCCACTGCTGTTCTCAGTGGTTCTCTAGTCTGATGGGGTCTCGTGTCAGCACACCAAATACTCTGATCCTTCAAATGGTGGCTCAAGCTTAGGTCCTGTGGGCAGGAAAAGTCAAACCCAAACCTGGATCACTATAAATTCCACTCAATATAATTGATGTCCCTTCCAAGGTGGAAAAGGTCTTACGTAAATAGCTTGCACCAAATAGTTGATTGGTGTCCCTGAGGGAGACTGCCATTCTGGAGGCTCGACATTGACCTCTGTTGCTAACAAATTGCATGTTTAGGTAATGAGATCACCTTGGTGAATGGGAGTTTATGCCGTTGGGTAATGCATAGCTCTTGTTCTTCTCACCAAGATTAGTCCATTTGTTCACCTATTGGATCACACGGAGGTGACTATAACAAAGGCACGGCTCATGTCATTTGAGTGTCGGCTTCCTTTTGTCAATGGCATTGGTTCTCTGTTCTAGCTATCCTTATTGTATATATTCTCTTGATCACATAAAATACTCTTTATTACACATGATGCTGCTTGATATTTGAAGATAATACCATTAAAAGTAACTGCTACTTACAAGGGCAATTGTGGCCAAAGATAAGTGATTTTAGTCCACGAGTATTCTCTGTTATTTTTCATCGTGAGAATGACTTTGGCTTCTCAGTGACTGCAGAGATTTTTTGGAAAAGTTAGAATCACTTTTTGCTCATTCACATTCTGTTTTGTCTCTATGAGTCGGCTCCAAAAGAACCTGTTTACTGCACAGCAGGATTCTGTTCTGGCATAAATAATAATTCTGCTGCATTAAAATAAAGATTACAGTCACCAACAAAGGAGGCAGGTAAAAGCAAATATACTGAAACAGTCTGCCAAACCAAGTGGTGTTTGTTCTAGGAATGTGGGGATCAATTAATATCTGGAAATTTCATACTATATGTTTACATCACACTCATATGTACATGCCAGCTAAGAAAAAGTGCTTGGTTATCTCCATAGATACTAATAAGGCAGTTAAAAAAAATTAAAACAAATGTTTAAACTTTGACAACAGGAAGAAAGTGATGCATCCTATATGATTTTTAAATATTTACAGCATCTTCTTGCTTTTGGCCACAAAATTTAAAATCAAAAGCCAAGAACTAAATCAGCATTCTTGCTTTTATCACTTTTATGTAAAATAGCTTCAGAAATTCTAGCTGACAATAAGCCATGGAATATATAAAAGGAGGATCCAATACAGAGATGTTTCTGGAAAATCCAAGAGAATAATCTGAAAAAATTATAACAGTTAAGAAGAATTGAGCTAAACAGGTGGACGCAAAGTGAATACAAAAAAAAAAAAAGTAGGGTGACTTAATCAGCAATAACATTAAAAGTTCTAATGAGGAGAAAAACAGATTTTGTTAACAGGTACAACAGAGACATAAAATACACTAGGAAGCATCTTTAAAACTTTGTGTTTATATGAAGAAAATGGCAAAATTAGTATTCTGAAAGAATTGGAAAATGATACAAGCAAACAGTAAAGACAACTCTGAAATAGAAACAGATGTATATGAAACAATTACTAGTAATGGAATTATTCAATAATAATGGTGGGGAAATTGATTAGCTATTTAGTAGAAATTGTTCATCTTTATTTCTATACACAGCGTATAGGTTTAAAGACTAAATGAATGATTAAAGGATTAATTTCTAACGTACCAAATGTTAAATGTTTAAGTTTTTATTTTCTAATCTAGAAAAAAGACAAGAGTTTTTTTTTTTTTTTTTGACAAGAGAGGTTTTATTAAATCTTTGGATGAGGCAAATTTGAAGTGAAAAAACAAAGCTGTTAAAGGAATCACAGGAAAGCAACGAGGATGAAGAGGTGGATATTTGCATGCTTAGGGTCGCTCTGCCAAACACATAGAAACTGTGAGCTTGGCTTTCCCATGGCTGGAAACTGGGGTGAGAGGGATACTAACTTTTCACTGTAAACCTTCCTTTATATCTTTTGCTTTTTTATACTGTGTCCGTGTATTACTTTTTAAAAACAAATAAACAACTCAAATTTCCAGTTTAAAAAAGAAAAAAACAGGGCAGCCCAGGTAGCTCAGCGGTTTAGCGCCGCCTTCAGCCCAGGGCGTGATCCTGGGGTCCCGGGATAGAGTCCCATGTTGGGCTTCCTGCATGGAGCCTGCTTCTCCCTCTGCCTGTGTCTTTGCCTCTCTCTCACTCTCTCTGTGTCTCTCATGAATGAATAAATAAAATCTTAAAAAAAAAAAGAAAAAACAAAAAAATCCCAAAAGGTTGACAGATTTGTCTCTTTAAAAACTTAGCATATCAACAGATAGCAGCAAAGAAAGTAAAAATAATGAAACATGGAGACATTGTCATGACCAATATGCCAAATGTTGACTTAACATCCTTGGTAGAAAAAGATATCAAAGGAGGATCCCAAAAATTGGAGTCATGTAAGGAAAAATTGACAGGATACAGTGGGCAATTCCCAAAGGAAGAAATGCAAATAGCCAATAAGCCAAAATACTCAACCTTACTTCTGATCAAGGAAATTCCAAGTAAAATAGCAATGAGATAACTGGTTTTCACTGGTCAAATTAGCAAAAATTAACAATATTCTGTTCTTGCAAAGGGGCAATGGGAAAAGCATGCTTTCACCCAGAGGATGGACTATACATCAGTAAGACCTTTCTGGAAAATGGTTTGGCCATATGTATCATGATCCCTAAAAATGTTCCTGTCCTTTGTCTCAGAAATTTCCACTTCCAGAGGATCTAGGTCACAAATAATCTAAGTATAAGTATGGAGAGAGCTTCATGCATATAAGATGGTTACTGCAGCATTAGATACAATAGCAAAACCAGATTTTTAGGGCCGGAGCTTGCCCCAGAACAGAGAAACCCCACCACTTCCCATCTCTAACCACACATGCTGGTGTCAGTATCAAATTGCTTCACTGCTCGATTATATTTTCGTTTTTGTCAGTCCAGCAGGCCACGGGCAGACCAATTTTCCAAATTAGAGTGATGGGCCTGTTTTTTCACATTTAGATGTTTGGGAGGGCCATATAACCTCTCAATAAAGAGGATTAGATATCCGAGTTGAATGAGGGGAAATGTGGTTGGGGAAAGCTAACATGGATTTGGTAGTTATCTGAACGGAAAAGAGAGAGCCGAAATGATGTGTTTTCGGTTGCGTAGAGAAAGAGAAAGAATGTTTATGAGGGGAAATTAGAGGGTGGTTTGAAACATTTCACAAAAATTACTGAAATGTCAGAGCAAAAAAGTCAACCCTGACCTGTAATGGACTTGGAAAGTGAAACAGCCCGAAAATTAAACCTACTTGGCAAGTGAATAATTAAGCTTCTTTGGCCTCTCCTCGCTCCCCGGGTGTGGTCTGTGAGGGCAGGAGCCCGCTCCGTTTCTGCACGTTTGCATGTGGCCTTGTCCACGAGATTCTCATCTCCAGGGAAGAAGGCCCTCATTGTGTTGGGGCTTCCCAACCTCACCCCTTGGCACATGGTACGGCACGCCCGCTTGCTAAATGAATAAGTTGGTATTTCGTCGGTCCTTTGAAAGATAGCTTTCCAGAGTGTTCTTTAACATGAAGGTTTTCTTTCAACCAGGATTACCAAACCAATAACAATGACCAGGCAGTGGTTGAAGTCTGTATCACGCGAATCACCACAGCCATCAGAGAGACGGGGTCGATTGAAAAGCATGCCAGAGCCCTGGTGGGACTCTGGGACTCCTGCCTGGAACACAGCCTGAGACCCTGTGGCAAGGACGAAGACACTCCCCATGCAAAAATTGCTTCTGATATCATGAGTTGCATTCTGCAGGTACGTCCGCGCCCGACATCACGCTATTTGATACTGTCTTTGCGACTTAGGTGAACATGAGGTATCTCTGAACCAGCAGCTCACGTTTCTCTAGCCTTTTGGCGCTGTAAAAAGATACCACAAGCCATCCATAGCGGAGCCCGACGAGGTTCCAGAGAGCCTCTGCTGCCTGCCAGACACAGTGTGGGAAATTCAAAGTCCTACCACAGCAAGCTCCGGGCTACGTAGAGAGATAGGACGCATGCATATTAGAACTTAACAGGAAGGCATGCCAAGATCCAAAAGATGAAAATTTTCCTGGAAAATTCAGGGGAAAAAAAAAAAAAAAAACCCTGTTTACCCAACAAGACCAAGGGGGGGGGGTGGAGTCAGGACTGAGGGGCCACGAGCTTGGAATATGTGGAGAGAAGCGACTATGCCATCTTTAAGACTTCTCTAGGTATTGCGAACAATCCATGACAATAATACCTGCCTATTGTAATCGTGCCTGGCTGGCTCGGTCGGTAGGTTGGTAGATCATGCAACTCTTGACCTCAGGGCCATGAATTCGAACCCCATGTGGGGCGTGGGGCCTACTAAATTAAAAAAAAATTCCTTCCTCTTGGTGTAAACATGAATTTAGAATTTGGGCTCAGCCACAAACCAATTACGTAAGATCGAAATGGCGGGGAGGTCTCTTAACTTGCTAAGCTGCGGTTTCTTGCCTATAAAATACGGATGGAACGACATTGTCTAGGACAGATTTTACCAACCGGTAAATATCGGTGACGTGGATAGGTGTTTCTCAGACGAGAATCCTGGGATCAAATAAATCTGGAAGCACTGGATTCAGTTTTTCCCTGTTGGGCTGCCATCTGTTTCGTGGCATAGTAAAAGCTCTGGAAAACGGTGCGATGTAGAAAGCTGGTCACTTTTGCTGAGCACCGTGTTTTTGATTCGGATTTGCCCGTGGAACTTCCTTTCCCCTCCCTACCCCCAACACAACATCTATGAATATCTCTGAGAACTATGGTTTCGGAGCAAGTTCCAGAAATTCTGGTTATGGGGAAGTGTCCAGCACTGCGTGTGACATCTAATACCGGCCTCCTTTCTCCTCCTCCTTCTTCTTCTTCCTCCCCGTCCCCCTTCCCTTCCTTTCTCTCCTCTCTCTCGCCCCCTCTCCTTCCTCTTCACAGTTGTCCATACTTACCTGGAGCATATTCCGCTTTGTCTGTCTAGTCCAGACACTGGTCAAGTGAACAAAAGACTGTCCGTACCTGTCGCACCGTCTTTCCTATGTCCCCAGGGTGAGAGATAGGAGGGGAGGAAACGGGGGTTTCAGCACAATCAGGGACAGGTTAATGCTGCGTGGCTATAACAACAAAGACCTAATACATCTGTTCTCCACTGATAATTGAATGTGTCATTGACGTTCATCAGACGTCTAGATCATTCCACTCCAAAGTGCCATCCCACAGACACTCAGACAGAAATTCCCCAATCGTCCGTACAGGGCAGCTCCCACCGTGATTTCAGAGCTCCTGCCGTGGACTCCCGAGTGGCGCCATCTACGAGCGTGAGCCACGTGTGGAATTTCAAAGTTTCTAGTAGCCACGTGAAGAAGAAGAGAAAAGGAACCGATGAAACTCGCTTGATAATACGTTGCCCTTAACCCAGGATGTCCAAACTATTATTATTTCAGCGTGTGATCAGTATGAAGGTCAACGAGCTCTTTTACTTCTGTTGTAAACCACGTGTCAGAAAGCCGGCGTGTGCTTTTGCACATGGTCCTTGGGCTTGGCCACCCTTGCTTCCCGCGCGTCGCGGCCCCGGCGTCGGCACGACTAGCGAGCCAGGAGGCCTCCGTGCGTGGAGAGCACACTCGCAAAGGGTTACGAGCAACGCGCGGCGACTTCCCGGGGTGGAGAGGTGGAGCGCGAGGGCATTTCCAGCCAACAGAACCTTCCAGGCTTGTGTCACAGTCCAGATCTGCGACCTGAGATCGAGGTCAAAGAATTTATGAGCAGGCCGCCCTCCAAAATGCTCCGAATTTAAACGTACAGGGGATGTTTCATTCTGGGCAGAGGCCTTGGGTGTCCTACAAGGGGTTGGCGGTTGGGGAGCAAATGGACACGCTACCCCGCCTGCCCGTCAGGGGCCCCCGGGCGATGAGTTTGTGAGACAGTTGAGAGCAGAGCCTTATGCGTAGGCCCTGGCATCTGGGGCAGGGACAGAGAACAGGCCCGGGGACAAGCTCTGGGCCTAGAGGGACAGTGAGTCACGGGCGGGGACTGCAGCCTGCAGGGCCAGCGCGGGCATCTCGGCTCCCAGGCGGCAGAGGTATGAAGAGGAAGGCAAGGGGCCTCATGGGCAACTCTGCTTGCGGCTAAGGCCTGGTGAGCCGTCCAGGCCACCCCCGGGGATGTGGCTCCAGAAAGTCAGCCCCGGAGACCGAAGGCAAGGCTGTGGTTGCAGCTTTGCTGTTTAGCTTTGATCAGATTTGAAGGGAAACGTTTTTGGCCTGTGGTAAATATCGAAAACAGGATTTTGTACCACATGTAATTTAGGTTCTTGTGGGAACCGTGTAAAAATCCAGATGACTCCTATTCTGCTCTGCTTTTTTTAGGAAAATAAAACAGTAGATCAACTTTAAAGCCAACCGCTCCGCATTTTGAGCTTGCACAACCGCACCCCGCCCCCCCAAAATGAGAAAACAACAAAGAAAGAGAGTCCTTCTGCACCCGTCTAGCTCCCCAGATAAGCCACGCCGGAATCGCACTGCCAGGCACAGACCTTCCAGCTCTTCCCACATCTGTGGCCATTTTACCCATTTTCTTTTTTTCCTGGCCATTTCTCTCTCATCTCAAGCTAAATAGGTTCACACACACGGCAACCTTCTGTCCTTTTCTCCCCAGATTGCTTTTTCAACCTATACTGCAAACCTACGTCGGGTGCCTCGTTCCTTTTCTGCTTTTAATTAGTGATTATATATATTTAATTCTTTCTTTTCTTGGCCCCTACGTTTATGAACTCGCCACACTTACCTTAAAATGGTTCTTAAAAATTCCGGTAGTCGCCTTCTACACGGTCCTCAATACAAAAATCCGTGCCCGTATGACGTGCACCTGCGAGTCTGGGTTTCTTTGGCCCCCAGCGACACGCTTTTACAAACCTTCCCCACGTCCTTGAACACGTCCCGCAAGCTGTCCTTCATAAAACAGAGGGTGGACCAGGGGAAACCTTCTGGTCTAAATCTCTCGGCAAACCTTCTGGTCTAAAATTCTGCGTCCTGGAGGAGGCCCTGAGACGTAGGATGGCAAAGAGCCTCGGAGCTGGAGGGCTCCTGGGTCCAGCGCCCTTGGTCTTACACGCACGGGAGCCTGGAGGTTACCTTGTGGCTCCTTCTGCATCTGTGAAAGGGGCACAGCTCTCCGTGCTGCTCATGAGAACCATCTCTTCTCCCCAAAGCACTCCATCTGTGGCCCAGCCACTCTCCAGAAGGATCTATCTCACGCCTCAGCTTCCCCTGACCAGGTTGCTAGGTGGAGTTGGTCAATGCCTCTTGCTTTGCCTCAAGAGGAGCCCTGAGAGGGAAGATGCTCCTCCAAGGCACGTTGCATCCTAGGATGAATTCAAGCCCGGAGGGGCCTGCAGAAAGTAAAGATGCACCTGAGGGAGACCGTGATGATTGTCATAGCTGCGGTGCGAGAATGGGTTTCCGGCTTGGGTGGCCAGGCCCACCGCTGGGACGTCGAGTCGGTGCCTGGTTCGCTAGCGAAGGCGGTTAGAGCATCTGTGCCAGCCCAACCTTGTGCAGGGCTGTGGCCAGGTCAGCTCGGCGGGCTCTTTCCTCCCCCATCTCTGCTCACGTCATGGATGACTGTGTGAACAAAGGGAAGGGGCTGTCGGGGGGCAGGAGGGAGGAAGACAGACAGCCCTCGGACTCACGTGGGAATCAGAAAGTATTTACTTCTCTTCTTCTGTCGATGGACCACCTGCCCTTCACCGTGATCCTCTTGCCCCTCGGGTGGAAGCTGCGTGAACAGCCGGCGTTGCCGGGGGGCCCTGGACGTTCCCGAGGGCAAGTCCTCCGCAGCTCCTAGGGGCAGAATGGGTCCGCTCGGTACAGATCTTTATCCACGAGGCGATCCCGGTTCCACCGCCTACATGCAGGGAGATCCCGGGCGGTTCCAGCTCTCTGTGCCTCCGCTTCCTCGTCCCCAAAATGCTGCCGCCGCCCCGTGAGGCTGAGGATCAGTCTTTAGGGGATGGACGTAAAGTGCTCGGGACGCGGGAAACGCTGCGCAGGTGCTCGATTGGCATCTGCAGAAAACTCTAAAACAGCACTTACTACTTCCCGACGAGCTGTCGTTTAATCATTTATCGTAGCCGCTGTTCACTGCTTGTCTCTCCCTCCCCCAAACTGAAGCCGTGCTTGCATGATGCCGCCCCAGCACCCGGCGTAGCAAAGGGCACATAGTAAGGGCTCGGAATAGTGTTTATTGAATGATGGATGAATGAATGAACAAATGAAGGATTTGGCATCAGATCAGGAGATGTGACTGCCCTCTGGATTCTGCAGAACAGCTGTGTTTCTCCCTAGAATGGGTCTCCGTTATGCCACACAAGACAAAAAAATGGGAGGAGCCTGGGACACAACCTCCCAGGGTATTGAGACCCACTCCTTGTTACCCGTCTGAAAACACCCTGGGAAAATCTAGGCGCATGTGCCGTTTAGCTCTCATGTGCACCCCCACGCTGCTAAGAACCAAGCATTTTATACATAAATCCAAGATTTGATTATCTGATCAGTGATGCGGGATGAAAAAACCATAAAACAGTGATTTTAATAAAGGACACTCACTGTTTCTCGAGCTTTCTCTTTTATGGCTGGTCGTTGCATTCCAAGCCCAAGAGCCCACGAGCTTTTCCGTTGCTCTCAGCTCAGATAGATATCCCCTTTACTTAGCTTTATTCTTTTCCACTTTAAAACTCTGGGAAGTGTTCCCAAAGTGCATGTT